GATCCCAGCATCATCCACAGAGATGTGAAGTCGTCCAACATCCTCCTGGACGAGGGATTCAATGCTCACGTCGCGGATTTTGGAGCCTCCACCTTGGGGCCGACGGAGAACTCCACTCACGTTACGAGCACCAGCCTTGTTGGAACTCCGGGATATGTTGATCCCGAGTACTTCCAGACAATGCAGCTCAGCCCCAAGAGCGATGTCTACAGCTTTGGAGTTGTCATCCTGGAGCTCTTCACAGGGAGAAAGGCTGTGGACTTGGGACAAAGTATCGTCGGAGTTGTGGCATGGGTGGAAAAGGTGGCGAGCGAGTTCTCATCGCTGGTGCCGGCATTGGACATGGAGCCCCCAGTGGACGAGGAGAAGTCTCGCATTTTGGCCGAAGTTCTGGAGCTGGGAGTGTGCTGTGTGAGGCCAAAGGCAATCGATCGCCCTACAATGACGGTAGTCGCGAGTAGTCTTGAGAAGGTCTTGAAACACTTTGGAAATCCTAGCAGCGCGAGGGAGTGGATTTCTTCACCATGGACAGAGACCACCTCTGGGCCTTCTACGGTTGATGGACCTTCAACGCTAGAGGCAAGCTTTTCAAGCTCATTCCTTGCAGAAATTCGTCTCGTGAGCCCCAAGTAAGTCAAAGCTAACTTTGAAGGACATGTAACATATAAAATTCAAATTTTTTATCAAGCATTGTTTAATTGCTTTTAGATGGGCACCACAAGATCTAAAATAGGTTATACATACATACATTATTATTCTTGATAATGTTATTCAAATCTAGAGATGAATTGGTTTTACAATCTACAATTGTACCACATCTTGCAAGTGATTTTACTTTAAGGTTGTGTGAAGTATCTATTTCTACCTTTAACAACTGTTATCGAAACTAGCACCTCACTTTTTGTGTTTCCTATGCAATTGTGTTAAATGGTTCACATACTACATCAAATAAAAACCTTTTGCTTTAGTCATAAGCATCAAGGTAAATATCAAGAAGTTAAAAGTATCAATATTGCATGTAATAGAAACCCTTTACTTTTGTTTATGAGCAACATAACTATCAAAAAGTCTATAAGTATTAATAAAATTAGGGGTAACCTAGATTTATTAAGAGTATATTCACCAATAATGACCACAGTGGAAATTGAACCTTAAATCTTTACTCATGGGATTTGAATTCAACATATATCATGCACATGGATGGGTATATAAAATTAACATATGAATCTAGGATAGATGTGAAAATTCTTCATCCAAATGAAACTTTTACTACTTCTTGGCAATCTAAAGGTAATTCCTCAACAACCAAGACTAATACCAACATCTTTTTCTATTTCTTGTTGGATGATCTTATGCATACTTATAGGGCTAGGACAATGGGGATCTGTTAGCAAGTGAATTACAAGAGGTCACTCATCCAAAAGGATCAAAATTTTAAGTGATTTCCTTAATATTGATATGATTTTGTGTAGGACCACAATTGGATATGTTAATTAGGAGCCTAGTTACTCAATGTGTTATAACAAGGCAACCAAGATTTGGAGATGAGAATGCCAAACGTTGGAAATTTTTCTTTAGTGTTTTTACTACTAAGTGATCTTGAGGCTAGTCTTGAACTCCTGATGGAAGAGTTCTGGTGGGAGTGCAAATGTGATGGTGAATAGTTCGACAAGAATGATTGCCACTCCTTGGAAAATGAAGGTGGTGATATTTAAAGCTTAATGTGAAGTGGCTGCATAACAAAAAAATTGTAATTGCAATTTAACAAACTCTTATTTTGAAAACAAAATCAATAAAAATGAATTAATTTTTTTTATTGAATTCAGGAAAAAAAACCATATAAAAACCATGAATTTTTAATTGGTATATAGGTGGATACTAATAAGATCTCACATAGAATTAGGATCCTCAACTTACACTCACTCAAATGCACTTTTATGCTTTGCACTTAACTAAAATAATCATTTCCTTGCCATTGTGAGTGTCAAGGATGATCATAAGGATTTACTTGATAAAAAGCAAATATCTTAGTTTTTTTGTTGTTTTAAGCTTGAGAACTTTAAATAACAAAAAGACAAAAGATTTCATAGAAACCCCTACATATGTATACTTTCTATATTAGGAAAAAGAAGACTTTAATCTCAAGGTTGCACCCAAGCAAGTACAAACTGTGCATGCAAATTTTCAGCACTTGATCTTATGGAGCATGATTCTTTCTTTTAGGAACAAAAATATAAAGCTACAAAAATATCAATGAAAAATGTGTTTATGTTAGTGAAACAATGTTGTAATGCTCCTCACTCCTCACAATATAATCATTGCAATAATCATGAAGCTCAAGCCAAGAAGCAAAAACCCAATTTTTTTTTTTATATTGTCACTTTGTAACATGCATGAGTGTAACAAACTGTTACAGTGCCAAAAACTTGTGTGCATAATTAAAAATGCAAAAAGTTGATAGAACTAACCACACAATTCATTTACGCTCAAAAAAGCTATCACTCAATGCCCCAAGCACTAAAAAAAAGGCTTTGTGCTTGCCTTCACACTTCAATCAATCACTACCTAATTTAGGATGTTATACTACAAATAAACTATAAAAAATGAGAGGCACTCTTAAGAGTGATTGAAGCACTATAACTACATTAGGGTGTGTTGTGATTTGAATGTGTTTTATTTCTCCTGGCTTGATTGTAAAACTATAAAAATGAAAGGTGAATGTAACATGCCAAAAGTATGAGAGAAATGGTTACAATCAGAAAATCATAAATCTGCATTCAATGATATTAAAATGAGACAAAAAAATCCTTCCTAAATTTGTAATGATATCATGTTATCTGAGATGATGTGGCATTATTTTTGTATGGTAGTTTGAGGTGTTATGCCCCAATCTCATGACAAAACAATCAAAATGTGATTGTGTGTATAATACTTTTGCATAGAACTCAAAACAAAAAATATATATCCACACATGTGTAAATATATAATGTTCCAGTCTGCAATTATATATTCATTGCCATAGGTAATAAAAAATGCAAAAAAATTATCACATATGTAAATATAAAATAAAACCATATACAATCACATTTTGTTTGCCAAAGGTGTGAACCACTTCTTATTAAATTACATATGCATTTTCTATGTAGTGTATGCTAATAGTTGATAAGAATCCACCCTACCATTGCCACTGCTATAATCATTATTGCTGTTACTTGGTGTGCAAGTAACGCAAACATTGGTGAAAATCCAATGCCCTGCAAAGGAAAGACTCTAAGAAAGGACCACCATAATCTTCTTATCCCATATAATAGTTTTTTATGTTGTGAATATTCTTTGTAGCTTAAATGTGTTTCTAAACGTCATATACCACAAACAATGTGACAATCACATTAAACATGATTGTCACCAATTTAATATTAAAATATAAAATATAGCCACATTTGCCTGCCATAGATTGCACAGTGTCTTTAATTTGTCTTATTAGTTTTTTGTGAAAGGAAAAAGCAGAAAATGATTAAGTATCCATTTATTGTCTTGAGTTCTTGTTTCTATTTGTTTCAAGTATTTCTGAACTTGTATAACTGTTGACATTTACCTTTGATGCTTGTGATGAAAGCAAAAGGGTTTCTAGTTGATGCAATATGTCAACCGTTTAAATATAAATTTCCAGGGCTCTCTAGGAATTTGCATCCAAGTGATTGCTCAAGCTGTTGGAGCTCAAGAAGAGCTTGGGATCGAGATGAGGGCGTGCCGATTGCATTGCCAAGCCGCTTTTTTGCTTGTTGGGGCGAGATTTCTTTGTCGCACTCCTTTTCTTTTTTTCCCTCTCGCAGTACCATGTGTAGGTGGCAAGTGCCTTATGCCCGCCTCATGCAATATGCATAAGCAGTGATCAAGAAGTTGTAAATCCATCTTTTCCTTCATCGTTTAAAACTAGAAAAAATCTCGTTTTTCACATATGGAGCAGTGGGACAAATGCACCAAGTTAGTTGAATTTCTACAAATTTTCTTTTAATTTAGTTCATGTCTCGCATTTAGAGGTCTCAGGCTCAACTAGCTCAAATGCTTTAGGTGCCCCTGTAGCTCCTCGGGCCACGGGAATCTCTGCCAAGTTCTCATTGGGTGACAACAAAAGGGTGGTAATCTCCTCAAACTCGTACAATTGCGTGGCTCAACGTCGGCGATCAAGGTCGCGGGTGATGCCCTGGCGATTGTGATGCAAAACAAGGTGTAGCTTCACAAGAAAAGCTTCCACTTAGAGGCAGCCGAAGAGTTTGAAGTTCTAGAAGAATCCGGGATGTTTAGCTTGAATACGTGAATCGTGCATTGTGTCACTGGTGAGCGCCAGCAAGAGAACATGCCATGCTCCAAATATCAGCTTAATCCTTCCCTCTTCAAAGCTGGAAAACGCAGCAAGAGAAGAAGACATTTGTTTCTTACCTCAAACTTTTCCCCCAAAATCCTCATGATCGTCCTTGACACTCGCAGTGGCAAGGAAACGACCATTCTGGCTAAGCGCTAAGCACGAAAGTGTGTTTGAGTGAGCGTAGGTCTAGAAGGGATGCCCGCGAGCAACATGAACACAAAGGAATCGCGAGAATATCCAGGACACTCCTCGAAGTTTACAAGTGGTGACGGATTTCCTCGCCGTCTCGTTTGCCCAGACATAAACACATCACAAAATAAAGCTCACAATAAAATCTATGATGTTATGAATGTATGACATTCTTTTGGTTGTGGATTTTTCTTATGCTTTGGAGAGCAAGCTTGAGAATGTGATGAAGGAGAAGTTTTATATCACTCAGAGTATTGCGGCTGTTAAGGAGCAACTCCAGATACATGAAATAGTTGACTATAGAAACTTCGACGTGGTGTGGCTGGTGGAAAAACTAGAGAAACAATGTGGCCATGCAGATTTTGTCACCATTACTGTTCAATCTTGTGCTTTTAGTTGGGTGCCTTCCAGCTTGTTAGGAAAAGTGTGGAACAACGATGCAATATTTGTCACTATAGTTCGATTTTTCATTCATGAGAATATTCCACGACTGTCGATTATTTCAAAGGGCTCTACCAGTAGTCTCCACAAGAACACGCACCATTCTCAAAGTGGTGGAAGCGTATAGCATCACGAACAACGATCTTCCTCCCCACAACCTTGGAGATGGCCTTGACGGCTGCATGGCAATCAAAGCACACGCGGAGGTTCTTGACAATGTGGAGCGCCGTTCCTGGCGGAGTGGAGATCAGCCCAAACGCGATCGCCAGCCTCTCACTGTGGTACCAAAGCAGCTGCTCCTTCTCCTCCTCCTCCACGTCCCGAAGAACAGCCCTCACGTCAGCGACATAGCCCGCCTCCTTGACTCGCGCCTTGAGCCTCTCGATCTCTGCGTGAATCCTCCCGAGCTGCGGGTGGAGCTTCTGCGCCGCCATGAACTCGTGGACGCGATCCTTCACTTCGATGCTGCTCAATCCCGGCTGCTTGGTTATCCCCCTGAGTCTCATCGCCTTCCTCGTTCTCCTGGCCTCGTCCATCCTCCCGGTCGAGGAGTAGAGGTTTGAGAGCAGTATGTAAGGCCCCGAGTCCTCTGGATCCAGCTCGTAGATAAGCTCCGCGATGCGAGCCCCTCGATCGACGTCTCCGTGCATCCTACATGCGCCTAGGAGAGCTAGCCATGCCGAGGAGTCGGGCTCGTATGGCATGCTGTTGATGAGATCTTCGCTGAGCTGCAACTGGCCGGACCTTCCCAGGAGATCGATCAAGTTGAGGTAGTGCTCAAATACCGGCACCACTCCAAAGTCGCGTATCATCGAGACGAAGTAGTCCACCCCGTCCATGGAGCGACCGGCGTGGCTGCATGCGAAGAGGAGGCCGAGAAAGGTGATGCCGTTCACTTCCAGGGCGCCTTGAACCATCTCGTGGTAGAGCTCGATAGCCTCCGTCTCGTAGCCGTTCTGTGCGTAAGCAGCGAGTATGGCGGACCAAGTCACGGTGTTTTTCTTTCCCAGGCTGTCGAAGATGGCTCTTGCGTTATCCAGTCGCCCGCATTTGCCATAGAAGTGCATGACCGCCGTGCCGAGAGCCACGTCCATGGGAATCCCGCTTGCGGTAATGTCGTCGTGGACCATCCGGCCTTCCGTGTGTGCTGCTAGAGCCGCGCAAGCGTCGATGATGGTGAGGAACGTCACTGCGTCTGGCTGAACCCCCTCCAAGTCCATGGATCTAAACACCTGGATGGCCTTCTTGCACTGCCAGTTTTGAGAGTAGACTGCAACCATGTTGTTCCAAGTCACCAAGTTCTTCCGAGGTAGACTGTCGAACACGGCCCTGGCAGCGTCCACGTTTTTACACTTCCCAAACATGTTGACGAGCGACGTCCCCACCATGATATCGGACTCGAGCCTCTTGTCCACAGCTATAGCATGGACGATCCGGCCTTCTTCTTCGGATGGAAGACTGGCACAGGCGTCGATTGCGTTGATCAGAGTGACTTGGTTCGCTATCACACCCTCTAAGTCCATGGTCTTGAAGAGGTGGAGAGCTTCCTTGCCTAGACCGTTTTGCGTGTAAGCTCCAATGATGCCGTTCCAGGAGATCACGTCCCTGTTCTCCATTCTGTCGAAAAGTACCCGAGCTTCGTTCATGTTTCCATCCTGAGCGTATGCCACCACCATCATGTTCCACGTTGCAGTGTTGCGCTGAGGCATGTCGTCAAAGAGTTGTCTTGCTTCCACCAGGCGACCGTTTTGAGTGTAGGCCGTGACCAAAGATGTCCAGGAAATCACGTCCCTCCTGGTCATCGTATCGAATGCCTGCTTCGCCTTGCCCAAGCAGCCACACTTGCCATAGAGGTTGATGATGGCGTTGCCGACGTCCACATCTAGATGCAAGCCGTGGAAAACTGCCCTGGCATGATACGTCTTTCCAAGAACCAAGTTCCGGATGTTCGAGCAGGAGTTTAAGATGCAGACGAAAGTGATCCGGTTTGGAGAGACGCCTTCTTGATCCATCATGCAAACCAACCTGATAACTTCGTTTCCTGGCGAGCCCGTGATGATGGTGTTCCATGAAGCAACGTCCCTTGCCGGCATTTCATCGAAGAGAAGCCTCGCTTTGTGTTGATAACCATACTGGCAATATGCTGTGATCATCGTGTTCCAGGACACTGTGTTCCGATCCGGGTTCCGACCAAAGATTTCTTCTGCCTCTTCCAGACGACCGTTGCGGATGAAGACCGTCATCATGATGTTCCAGGAAAACGCGTTCTTTTCCTGAATCTGGTCGAACACTGACCTCGCCTCTGCAATGCCCCCACACTTGCCATACATCTCGATAAGCAGATTCGCGATGAGTCTGTCACTGGCATATCCATCCTTGACAAGGCAAGAATGGACCCGCTTGCCCTCCAGCAGGGCCTTCGAGTCGGCGCATTTCTTGAGAAGCAAGACGTAAGTCGAGATTTCTTCTCGCCGCTCATCAACTGTCCTCCTGTTACCATTTGCAACTGACCACCCCGCAGTAGCGACGTCCATCTAATCGTCGTCATCTGTGATTGTGAAGGCCCTTCTTTTGGCTGGCTTCGGTATGGCTTCAGCTTCGGTACCTGCTAAATCCTCCAAGTCCATCATGTCCTGGCTAGCGTCGTCAGCAGTTTGGTGTTTCACCAGTCTTTTCTTTCTGTTTACAGGGTGCCCTGGAGGAACATCGAGCCTGAAAGAAGCGCTAGGAAGTTGGCGTCTTGATAAATTGGCAAGTTACAACTTACACTTCCTGAAGGTCCACTTCCGCATCGGATGGCAACCTGTTTTCCTCCACGTAGTCAGCGTTGTTAGCAGCAGGTAGTGTTCTGTTCTCTGTATCTCCCTTCTCAAGGTCACCTTCATCGTCATCTTCTTCTGATTCAGTCCACTCCTGATTGTCTTCAGAACTCTCACCGTCCTCCCTGCAAACGTCATGAGAAATCTATAAATCCATCAAGGTTTTGAACTGACCATTCATTCAAAGGCTGGACGCCGTCGTGATTGCCCTTATCTAACTCGTCGTCCTCCATATCGTCATTCCTGTGACAAATGTTTTGCAGCTTCTGAGTGTGATGGTAAAAGGCTTTACCTGTCGGCGTCAATTGGACTTGTTCCATCAGCGTGAATGTGAGATGGTGTAGTCCCGTTACGATGTAGACCGAGCTGTTTTAGCTTTCTTGTTACTTGCGCACTGGATATCTTCCCATCGCTATCCAATGCTCCTGCAATCAGTTTGGAGCAGCTACGCTTGTGCTTAAACCTGAAACAAAACATCCTCCAGGTGTTAAAGAAAATTAAGGTAAAGTCTTACTGTTGGAAAAGCTCAATAATGCGCTTTTCATCTTCCTCATTGAAAGGACCCCTTCTGCGTTTCTTGGGCACAGGTACTGTTCTATGAGCAACTCCTCGTTCGCCAATAATACTAAGAAGAGGAAAGTCAAGGAACGAACCTAAGTATAGGAAAATGTACCTCGTGGATTCAGAAGCCAGGTTGACAAAACCATCATCAGCTTCTTCTTGAAGAGCGTCCGCAAGGCAAGTAATAGATGTATCCCCTTCGAACTCGTAATCATCGGCAATGTCACGGGATGATTCACGGCTTCTTGTAAACAGCACATCCACGTAAAGCCAAGGATTCGACTTCAGTTTCTTGAAAAAGTTACGAACGACTTTGTTGATGAAGGAGATGAGGAATTTGTACTCTTCTAGTTTTTGAAGTTTTTCATCCAAAAGGATGGTTTCAAAGGTTTCAAGGATTGAAATCTGCAATATTCAGGCTTAAAACGAATCAATTCGGAAAACAAACTCGACAGACCTCGTATAGCAAGGGCTCCAGCTCGCAATCTTTGCATATCCGGTGGAGCATACAAACGATGTAATAATTCAAGGCAGGGCTGTTGGACTGGTAGAATGTCAGGAGCCAGCAATAGTTGGAAACGGTTGTACTGTCTGCAAACGTATTAACGCATTTGAGGACGTTAAAAGTGCCTTCTCGCGTTGAAACATTATCATGGTCGTCTTGGAGGTCGTCAAGCAGTGGCTCTGCTTGCGCCTGCTCCTTATCACCTCCCGCCTGCTCCTGATCACCCCCCGCCTGCTCCTGATCTCCTCGCAAAATGTCGTTATTTTCCTCTAGTGAAGCCTTCGACGCTTCAATACTCTCAGGTCCCGCATCTGATAAATCTTTAGAGTCATCCTGTTTTTTCCTGGATACTTTATTTCGAGCCTTTTGGACAACCTGCTCCAAAATACATCTCAAATTTGCGATATAGAGGCATTTATTTAACTTACTCTCAAAGCACCGTCTTCCTGGATTGTATTTTCCATCAGTTTCAATGCGACATGAGTAATTTCGACCATGTTCTCAAGATATCTACATGGACAAAAATATGCATTCTTTTAAAGTTTCAAATAAATTCCCTTTACCTCCGAGGTTGTTTGTAGTTGTTGAATGCCTTGATTGATCTACAGCATGTATTCAAGATGCCTCTTTCGGTCTGATCATAGAAAACCTTATAAGTAAGCGTCCTAGCAGTGCGAACATCACGATTGGAGAAATTTGACCGTTTCTTGAGCACTAAATCCAGAATATGAATCTAGAAAAGAGAAAACAGAAAAGAAAGAATAAGCCGACACTACGAGGGAACTAGGCTTACCATCTCTTTTAGCAGGGAAACAACCGCGACAACCGGGATCCAGTCATTAGGAGATTTAGCAGCTTCCGTATAATCATGCCATTTTGATACAACCATCTGAAACGTCTCTTCATTCATTGTACATGAAACATGACCACAGACTGAATCTGATAAAGCACTTTCATCTGCCTGTCAAAGGTAGTAAGGAACAGAACTCAAGTAAAGACAACTTACAAGTGTTTTCAGAAGCTTATAGCGTTGATAGCTTAGAAAAAATTCAGCAACTTCATAAAAGGTAACAAAATCAGAAGTCTCAATCTCTCGCCGTTCTCT